GCTGTTGGGGCGCCACCCAGCAACATGGATGAAGTGATAAATGTTCTTGAATCCGTCAAGCATGCTGCAGAGGGTGCAGAAGCAACTGTGAGGAAGGCCTACGAGAAGGCTGAAGAAGCTACGAAGGTTTTAGAAGAGGCGGTAAAGGCTGTGACGACTGCGCGAAGTGAAGCTGAGGACTTGAAAAATATTGTTGAAGCTGTCGTCGATTTTAAAAGTACCAATGCAGTTCAACCAAAAGCACAGAAAACCATGTCAACATCCACGGCGGCGAACGGTCGCCTTATTGAGGCGGAAGGTTTATCAGAAGATACGGCAAAGGCCGCTCAGGGAGCGTTTGATGTGATGCGTAAGATCACGGGGAACGTTAAGAAGGCAATGAGGTTGCTGGGTGGTTCAGTCCCACAGCAAGTACAGGTGTTATTGGAACTCGCAGAAACGAGTCAGGCTGGATTTGCTGACGCCGCGAGCAATGCAGCTTCTTCTTCCCTTGAGGCATCGAATGCTCAGATCAGCGCAAAAAATATAAATGTCCACGCCGAGCAGGCAATGGATGAAGCTGAAAAGATAAAGAAAAGTGGAGGTGACAACAGTGCACGTCGTGGGCAAACCGATATATATAAAGAGAATGTAAAGGATTACGGTCAGCTTGCAGCAGCTCACGGCAAGGAAGCAGTGGATGGAGCTGAAGCGGCAGCGGGAAATGCCACAACTGCATTTGAGAACACTAAGAAGGCGGTTGAAGCTTTCCGACAAATACTGGATGCTGCAAAAAACGCAGTAACGGCTGCTGATGAAGTTCTCAAACAGAACGCAACAGAAGATGCCCCGTCATTTATATCTGAGGGAGGCAGTGATTCACCACTGCAGCAAAATGAAAAGGCCCCACTAACCGATGATTCACAGACAGCCGCCGGGGCTGATGGTCTTTCTACAACCGAATCCACTGAAGCTACCGCAACATCTGTTGAGCACACTGGGGAGACATCCTCTCCAGCCAGCGGTACACCTGAGTCTCCTCTGCTTCCATCGAGCAGCGCTGTGAGTGCCGCGATGG